AATAGATGCCCCATGCACTAGGTCTGATTTCGCCATCTCCATGACGTTGTAACATATTTGCCATTTTCGTTGACCGGTGTACAGGTCATCAAGGTTGATACCCGGCTGACTTGTATGCGTGTGGCTTCTGTTAACCTCACCCTTTCCTCAATCAATGACTGGGCACTGTGACTTCGTTAAAAGTTTCACACATTTGTAGTGTGTTCACATGACCTCTGGTTGTCTGCTTTGAACCGCACCTTCCTTGCAGTCCGTTCAATTGTAATTTGTTGTTGACCTTGACACATCCGGATCCTGAACACTTAAGGTTTGCCCAATTTACTTAATTGCATATAGGAGAGGTGTACATAAAGGAACCGAACTATTGGTATAACGACTTTATTACTCATTGTACAGCATTGTAAGCACTTTCCCCTCAAAGTAGCAGCCTCTACTGGCAGCACACCGTTCCCAACAGTGCTTCCATTTTTGGATAGCCTCCTGGAAGACACCTTCTGGGTTGGCAAACAGGTCTCTTGTCGCATTGTTCTGTATCTCCTCTATGGTTTAGAAATGACGTTCTTTTAACGTAGTTTTAAGTTTAGGACACGAAACATTTTGCAGGGCGTTAGTCCTGGAGTATACGGTGCATGGGGTACAACAGGAGTTGTTGTTTTGCTCGAGAGCTGCGGATAAGGAGCGATGCTTGAGCCGGCGTATTGCCTTGATGCGACATCCAAGTCTAGTTTTCCACACAGTTCAAGCCTCTTCCTGTGCACAACATCTTTTAAATGCGCTAGTAGTTGTTAGCGTGATCCTGCATTGATGCCAAATTCGTTGACAACCTCTCGAACAGTTAAACGGAGATTTCAAGGATCACAGCACGAACTCTTTCCCAACGGTTATCGTCTGTTGATATGGAATCTCGTTTTGGCTTGGGATCGTCACGGACCGACATTCTGCCATGTTCAAAACACGCCAGCCATAGCACTGCGTGCGACTCATACAGTCCTCCAGTATGTTTGTCTGACCAATTGAAATGTCTCTGCAAACGTTTTGCGAAGTTTGTAGCAAAACGTAAACGCACACGCGTTGTTTCTGAAACTCTTCCATTGTCGCTTTGGCACTAGTCCGACGAAGAGCTTGTGTACGTGCTCACTTCGGCGACTGTAGCTCCCTAACCAACAGTCAAAGCGGAATGTGGTAAATGACAGTTTGTTGTCTAAGCAAGCCTCCACATGCGCTCAGTAGCAGCAGCGCGCTCCCGTTACCGGTTGCCTCGCTATTTCAAAAGTTCGGTTTCTTTTTGAACATCCCTCGTATGTTAACTGTGCCTCAGTTATTACGAGCCAGTTTAGCTGTTTTTGTGATCATTGGCAACGCGTCGTTCAACGTTCGACCGGTGAATTTCACACACGCTTCTTGTTTCCCCACTTACCCAGATTACTGTCTCGGCCCAATCATCCACGCGCAATGATACCAGGGACGATGCATAATGTTTTTCACAAGATCCTTTATGTTCGTCTATCATCGTCGCCCATTTTCTTCCGTTTCGACACACAAGGTCCTCTTCGCAATCCTGCAACACAGTTTGTACACCGCATTCCGTCGTTCATACGCCTTTCGATTTTGAAAGGATTTTCCTCAAGGTAACAGTTAGTTTGTGTGCTACGATGAAATGATGCTCTTTAGTAGTCTGGTCGCCATTTCCGAAGCTGCTGTAACCACAGTGCCTACTTCCGTCGCGGAAAAAATGGGTAAAGATCACGGGAAGCAAATCGGAGCTGTCGCCTCAAAAGGCACCTGCGCTTCAATCAGCAAGATTGCACCCTGCATAACACTGCACTGGTTATGCCACCTCGCATGGTGGTGAAAAGTTTGCAACCAATCTACCAACATCGGAGAACAAATGAACAACAGAATCGTCAACCCTAGCTACCAGTATTCCGAAACATTTTAAATAATTAAGTACGTAAGTAAGTTTTCGTTAGAATTGTGATGCTGATTCTGTAAACAATTCCATGCCCAAACAGTACATTGACATCAAGCATCTATTAGATTCGCGCCACCTACAACCTACGCAGAGGTGCAGTGTGGTCAGTACTCTAATCTCTTTCTACCTGCCCCGGCTAAAATTGCCCGTGGAACTGACTACACACTGTGTGAAGTAGTTACTAATCTGTCTTCTGGAAAGCCCATCTAGCCAGAGACTGCTCATATATTGTTTGGACCGGAAATACTAGCTGATATCACATTCAGTCGCGAATTATATCAGCGATTGTGCACCTAAATGAGGCAAGTACTGGTTGGAGAATTATTTCGTCAAAACTCATCCGACTTTGGATCATTTTCTGAGCCTGCGCGATGTACTCGAGTAGGTGCGACATGATGGACTTATCAACTCTGTACGTGAATAATTCTCGCGCGGATTCCGGAGAAATATCACCAATCCATTGCTGAAGCTATCTATATCTGCCGCCTCAGGCCGGAGCCGCGCATTGAACAATCAGCCATCCGCCCTTTGTTTTCCCAGTGCAATAAAAATAATTTAACCACAGTCTATTAAATAGACATAAAGCCTAATAAAACCATGGAAATCACGGCATGAAGACAGGTTTAAACTCGTATCCTCCTCATGTTTCATTAACCGAAGGTGAGCAACACCCTTCAGCAGTTCTGCCACAATAAAAGAACAACAAAAGAACACACGCCATTCTTTAATTTTTTTGTCTTTTTTAATCATTCAGCATTAAGTGCCCAAACCTAAGCAGCTATATACACAGATCCTTCACTGGTTCTGATTACGAGCCATCGGCACTCCTCGTCCTTTGATCCTCAATCAAGCAGACATGTGGATCTAACGGGGGCAAGATATATACGCTGTCACCAGGTGGATGGTTGACCTCCGCGTGGTCTATTACAGTTGAATTCTGCAGGAGCAAAGCGTACTCAATAGGGCAAACGCTCAGCTGGCATACGCAGGACGTGACCAAGCCATCTTAACTGGCGTAGCAAAACCAGCTTGTTGAAGGGAATACTCGCATTCCCTAAGACAAGACGTCCGACTTCACTGTTGCAGATAAGTTGTTGCCACCACACACGAGCAATCCTCCTCAAGCACCCGTTGTCGAAGACCGAGAGCTGGCGCATGTCGTCTACGTGAACTGGCCAAGTTGTGCGTAGGACCAACTTGCTGACGGATCTGCATGAGGGTCCGTACATTGAAGCATGCCAGAGGGAATGAGCATCGACACCGAAGGAGTGCGATTGGGTGTCCACAAAACCGTTGGGAGTATAATCATGGAAACAGGAATGGGTTGGTAATGGATGACAATAAATACTAACAGATGAACAGGTGGCTTGTGAATGTGCAGGACTAGCCGGAGCAAAAGCAGCTGACAGTGATATTACATATGAACAGTCTATGGCTTTGTCAGTGGACGTGATACTACCCGCTTGTCCAAGTGAAGTACGGAGTTTTCTCATGGGATCCCACCTCGAGCCTTTGGCTAAATAGCCTGCCCGCAAGGCAGCGGGGCGATTGTGGGACTGAGTTAATCTGACCGCTAACCATTGACTTCTCTGGTATGAGTGGCTCTGAAGACACTTGAGAGTGCCACCCAGCGTAGCTCAATGGGTCACAGCGGTACACAAACCATCGCATCACGTTAAGGCGCAGTCTCGTTGCAATGGTCTTTCACGGTGGCCCACAAATCTCGTTACATGATAGTTTGATTTGTACTCCAGTTATTCCTTGATTATTTGTGAAAATGATTTACCCTTGTACTTAATAAACTAAAACGACAGAGAGATTTATCGATTTGGTCGTTGTAATTAAACATACTAATCAAAATTCGGCCCAATTCGGCCCATTTGGCATGTTCTTCCCCCTATGTAAACGTCAGACTCTGAGGGGTTTTACTGTAAAGCATTAGTTACACAATAATTGCATCCTTTTGATCCATACTATCAAGCAGGAATTTTGGGACTTCCACAGATTGGCATCCCCATCATATCCATACAAGTTAGCCATCCAGCTACATACCGTCATCAGGGGTTCGAGAAATGTGCACCACTGGTGAGAACCAGAAGATGGAAACGGCCGTCTGATGCTTTTTTCAGATGTGTTGGAGTCTGCCTGACTGACAGAGGACTGCGACGAACTATATTTAAGTTACCAATTGTCGATAGTCCCCCAAAGTACAAAATTCAAGGGAGTTTCACAGGGAAAGGAAAGAAGTAGGGTACGTGGTGGGAGTTTAAATTGCTGGTAGATTTGGTAAATGTACGTCTTTATTGCGTCTCGCAAGAAGAACCAGTGATCTGTAAATGCTGATAAGGTGTACGTGAGATAGTGATATTGGGACATATTCCGATGAGATGTTGACAAGTTTGTAGAACAGTTCAGGAAGTCATCCGGTAGATCACACAATTGTGATAGGGTGTCGAGTGAAGATATGGCCCCGAAGTTATCAGACTCTCTTCAGCTGGAATCACACAGAAGGAGTTATTGTACGGCAGTCTCATTATTTTGCACCACTAAGGACAAATTCCATACAGTTTATAACTTGCGAGGTTCTCCGTCCAGGTATGCTTCTCTAGTTACGGAACTTTTGATTTTTCAAAAATTAACTTGGTAGTTCCAATTATTCCCTGTTGCCTGCTGTTTGGACGTTTTGTTTCAATTAGTAACGCATCACATAGTTCAATTATTAGCCGGATATACTTGTTGAGCGTTGGAAGTGACAACTATCCCTGAGAAACATTCTACTTATATCTCCGAGTCATACTGTTATGGGTGCAAGCTAAAACACTACTTCGTCGCTTTACTTGCCTTACCTCATGATAATTTATACCAGCTGGTCTCTGGTTGGAAACTGACATCCGCAGAGCTGGTTTTAGCTCCATACAGTCTTCATGCAGCAGCACAAACTCACCAGCTTACTGCAAACGGAATCACCGTGATCGTCGTTAATTACTGTCAAATTTGTGCAAAACAAAAGCTCCAAGCATACACTCACCTTCAGAGATCATCGACAAGGCATCAGCAGGCTCATAGAGTCCCTCCAGCGAGCGACAAACTTCCAACCGCACGTCCTCGTCAGTGACATGTAGAAGACGACCTGCACGAATGAATGACGAATTCAAGCATCTTACCTAGCTGCGAAAGACAGGATTGGGTTAGTTCCAGGTATCTTTGTTCATCCGAGCTCAGTTCCTTCAGAAAAGGGAACTTGCAAAGTCGAATAAGTGCCATAACATGTTCCTTGTACACATTAGGCGCATGCTTCAATTTTTCTGCGCATAAATCCAACAGTTCAAAGATTGCAGCCAGGTCACGTAATTTCTAAAGTTTTCGGTCAGGGAGTAACAGTGAATTCTGGAGAAGTCTTTGAAAAGATGTCATTTCGTTGGATAAACTTGAACGATCAATGGTTTCAGTTGTGTACCTAATGCTGTTAGAGGTTCAACTGGTCTGACGCTGTATCTCATAGGACGTCATGTAGCGTTTACACAAAAAAGCACAAATTGGTAGGGCTTATGCGCGAACGGTAGTTATTATCGGCGTACCAACCGTCGTTTCCTAACCCAACCGGTATTTGGGGTTATTACTTCGCCTCGCACGGTAGTTGCGCTTTAGTACTGTTAGCACTTGACCGAGGAAAATTCAAAGGATATCGGATCGCAATGGATGTGATGTGAAACATGGTCTGACAGTAAAATAGAGACCGGTTTTCTCCGGCTGGGACGACTACTCACCGAATCTGTCAGCTGACATAAGGAGGCCACCGCTAATGACCCGGGGACACGTGACGTGACGGTTACAGCCTAGTTGGCTTAAGGAGATGGCATGGCTGGCACTACGGCGTTCATTGATCCAGTGGGCCTGTGTAGAGAGCGATGATACTGTTACGCTTGAGGGACGCCTCCGTTATGATTGTGTAACGCCTGATATGATTGTCACTGGCACGCTTGGAGCACTGCTACGATAACGGCTTGGAACGCTGGCCAATCGAACGGATTTGCGCAGGACTGATGGCGTTAGCTTAGCCCGGTGAGAGGGAAATTGAGCGAGCGTGAGAACCTTCATAGTCACGCTTATTGGGGTGGAGGCTGAGCCCTCGTAACGGAAGAGGCTGCCCACACGAGAGGGGGGTTACGGTAGAAGCGCGCTAGTGGCTTAGACGCGAACGTTGCCGGCTATCGGCGCACACAAACTCACGTGACCCGACTGACTCCCAACTAACCGGCGAAGAGAAAGGCAAGGGGTCCGCTGAAGGCTCTTTTACGACCAACAAAGCGCAAATCACAGCCATTGTTATAGGTCATTAAGTTAGGGAAAATAGATAGCACGACGGAGTGGTAGTTTGTAAAAGAATATTGGCAACAGGTGCACAGTTGTGCCGCATCTCGGAGTGGCTGAAGACTGCCACGTGGTGGGTAGGAATTGGACTACTCTTTTCACAGCCATTACGCCGGAGTTTGTGGCGCGTTTTTGCAGGGATATTTGACGGGCCCGCAACAGCTACGCAACTGACTTCAGCAACAAGCATAACGCCCGACAGCAATTGAATGCTGTAATAAGAAACTGTTGGCTCACTTAATACCAGTGAGATGTGACTCAAGCCTATATACATGCAGCAACCTCTAGAGAACTACCGCATTCGTGGAAGGTTTAACGAAACAGAGAAAGGCTGGTACACGAGAAACAGTGTGCAGTAGGGAGAATTATTACCCAATAAGGTTGTGGTAAAATTACCCCAAACCAGAGGGCATAAAATGATGTCATCTTGCAACGCACGTCTTCTCATCGTATTATTTAAACTGATAAAGGAAACTGAGTACTTCAGAGCACCTAATAGGTTATTGTATAGGGTATATAGAAATTCAACTTTACCTTCATACACTTACTCACACTATATCCATAGCATTTGAAACTAGGAGTGGCTATTTATTTTAAATTACTCTAAATGCCATAGATAATTCATCTAGCGAGAGGACGTCGTCACCGCGCAGGCCAGCCACTGGTCGTGACAATGGAAGACAGGTGGTGCTATATCCTAGTTGCTTTGCAAAATATGTAGCCCAGCCAACTTCCCTTATGGTTCGGTGGCTAAAGCTGCTGCCTAGTTGGCATCTGCCTCTAACGGTTATTGGTTCGATCCCCATAAGCAGACCGAAGGAATGCGCACAACTGAAGAGCCCCAATAAGGCGAAAAGCGTCTGGTGCTTTTCCGGACTAGGATGTGCTATGTACATTGTGGAATACTGTGATGAATACCTTAAAAAGATTATTCTTTTCGTAGGCCGTTGTAATTATATGGCAGCGAAACATCCGTCCAAGGGGCTAATGTACTGTTGTTGAGGATGATGGTGATTATGATGACGAAGATGACTATGATGATGATTGTGAGGATGGTGATTATATTTTCACAATGTATTGAGGTCCTTCCTTTACAAATTTCCTAGCTGGGCTTCATGGTATATTATACCGATGAGGAGAATTTGAAACCGATCGTCCGACCTCCAGCAAAAGGTATTCTGACATGTAGTGGGGCAGTATTTGCGCCATCCGATCGAGAAGCGGGGAGACTAAATGTAGCAGCGAAAATTATTCGCCCGGTTAATCAATTGGGATTGCAAATAAGCATGTCCAGAAGGCTAATATAGTCCGAATGTCCGAGAACAGAACAGGTGTCAACACACATCATAAAACCTGTGCGGATGAACGTCGTTAAATTAACACCAGGTTAGCTCATGGACGCGCTAGAAGATAGATATGCAAACACTTGTAATGCAGTCTAGCAAAATGCTTACTGCTTTACTCATTAGATCAAGTGGTTCCAAATAGTCGGAGCTTGTCCTTTCCGAATGGTTGTCTACACACCTACACTGCAACGCTTCAAATTCACACCGGTGGATTACGGGTGATACAATGTGTGGGAAGCTGAACAGCACAACACCTTTCCCGACCGGTTACATATAGCGGATGTTTTGTTAATCTGGTCCGGAGTTAGGTGCGGCTGCACTCAGGTGCTGACGTACAACCGATACACTGAAATGATAACTGTCCAATGGCGCAAATTGCTTTGCCGGCACGGGTGAGATGGGACACAGACGCCACACGTGTGCCTACGATCGCAGAGCACACTGAGCCGTTCGGCTGTGAGAAGTGAACGTTAGCCAGACACCACCACCGCCGCAATGATTGCGTCATGCCTCTACCGCATGGCAAGACCTAGGGAACGCACGCCGTTCAGCTGTGAGAACTGTACGTGAGCCGGACACCACATAGCCGCACTGAATGTGTCATGCTTCGATCGATCGGTTTCCTGCGAAGTGTGTCGCTGTGTTAGCAACTGAGAATAACATCCTGGCCGTATGTGATGGCCGGTCGATGGGCGCCGTATTGCTATCGCTACAAAAGCTGTCATCGCCTCATGCCTGGCTTTCAACAAACCCGTAACTTTTAATTACGCCGCTTTCACTGCTAGCGAGAGGCATACTGCCAGGAGCATATTGTAAGCTTACAGTTTTCTTCAATTTACCGTTTCGATCGCATATGTGTTACCGCTGAAAATTCACCCTTCATGGGTGCATAAAAATGAATTCTTGAATTGACCTGACGTGGCAATGCTCCTAGATTTCAGACTGCCCCGATGCACTGGTGGCACTATTAGACAGCACACTAATTTAGTCATGAATGGAACTATTGCCCTCACAGTCAGATAACTGCTAGTTGTACACATTGATCAGGCCTTCGATGGTGTTTCTGACATGGTGAGGAGCCAATCTTATTGGCGTTTGTGTTATGAGTCACCTTGTCCCTCACCTTCCATTTCGCCTCCCCCTCCAGCAATAATCCAGTACACAATGTGATTTTAGCAATATTTTATTTTTATTATCTCTAGGTTTTGTAGCCTGTAAAGTTTAATCTTTTATTGTTTTTGTACTGCGGCAGATTAGTTGAGGTATGTTTCTCACCCTTGGCTAACGTGTATTGAAGATGATAATAGCCGTCGCGGCCAGTTTCAGCCAGAGAGACACTACACACGCGGAACACGTGCCATTCGGTGGAGATTTGTTTTTTATGAGTTCAAACAATAGGAAATAGCCATCCAACGCTAAACTAGGAGTGTGATGGCAATTTGCCGAATTGGGATGCCACAAATCTTCTTAGATCATTACAGTATTGCAGGCATTAGATAGTACGAAAGGATACGTAACCGTTTTGATTTAAAATGATTACATCACGTAGAAGTAGATGGTGTCGGTCATACATGAAGCTCTAGTAAAGTCAGAAAGCAACAGTGAGATATATCACCGTGTGAGGGTCCGATATGAGCTTAATTGTCCTTCGGATAGTTTTAGGTATTGTGTCATTCTGCAATAAACCTTGTAAGTAAAAAGAAATATTACCTGTTTATTGTGGTTTTGGGTTATCGGAAACGCACACTTATTCATGGTGTGAAGTTGCGTGATTTTGGCAGGAATTAAAGTAAAATTGATGTGCTAAAACAGAAGAATACGGGATTACCATAGTTATCACCTCACAAAAAGGTGCAAACCAGTGAGTGGAGATCGAACACAGGTTGTGGGAGAGAAGAACGGGTCATACACTTTTATCGACGACTCAAAAAGTTAGTACCGGCGATACCAGTGTTTGAAAAAAGAACGTACATTGACAGCAAAAGTGGGTTCGTTAGAGTTACTAGAGGTGTCAGTTAGAGCCAGTTTCGTGGAACGCCAACATGACTGAGAACTGTTGGGGAAAATACACACAGAAATAGCTGGCGGACGAACTCAAATTATGGCCGAGGAATGCTACTACATTGTTCTTCCTATCCAGTGAGCAGATATTGTCTGCGACCCATTCGGTGTTCCTGGATTGGAAAACTGGTCAGATGGCCTACTAACTTTTGTAGCATTTTGAAGAAATGTGAAGAATTGATGGTAAGCTATAGGTTGGCTGTCATGGTTGCGATCGCTGAACTCTGGCTCCCTTAGGAGGATCCAACCAGAAATTGATCACAGCCTTCTCTGCTTATAGGATGGATAGACCTAGACATCACACTGGGCGACCTGTTACTGAGGCGCACGGAATTGTCCGCTATCGGACGCGTCTCCACTTTGCGGAATAGGGGATGCCATATAGCCGAGGTAGGATGGGAGAAGTTCAGTTTGCTTTGCACGCAGTATGAGTAAGCAGCCGTGGACAATCAGCGGCAATCAGCGCAGAGGGTTCTAGACTTGTCACCTGGTTCTCCACCAATTGCCGCAACAGCTCCTACGGCGCTGTGTCAAAACCAATGTGACCGGCTGCAGGATAATTGACCATTCACTACTGTAGCTATCGAAGGACGGATAAACAAACCTCCTGACCACAGGTTTTTGTGTGGACTGCTACCGGACACTAAGAAGGCGAATGGGCCAGCTGGCTGCCAACGACCTTCGCATTCAGAGGCTGGTTCGAGGTTCCAAAGACATATGTTTATCGTTCCGCTGCCTTTCAAGGCAAATCCTTAAGACCAAAGGCTGCGGGTGAGGTTCCTTAAGTCAACCCTCTTCATTGGCCTGGGTAACCCGGAAGCTCACTTCCCATAAAAAACCGAAACTTACGCAACCTTTCCCCTGACGGCCTTTCCCCCTTTTTGTTGCTACCCATAGGTCGTGTCAGTCTGTAATGGTTTATTGATTAAGTTTTGAATATGGTTAGTGGCTCCGAATCCGGGTTCGCCTGTTAATGCTGCCTCCATGCGGATAGCCACAGGACGCCTGCGCCTACAGCAGGACCATGGGTGGCTTGCGCTGCATCACCCACAGCTCTATACACACACACACAAACCATATCTACTGTAAACGCGAAGGAATAAGACCGGACCGCATGCGGATGGTAGGCCAAACTCCTTCAACATGCCCAGCAGCAGCAGCAGCAGCAGCAGCAGCAGCAGCAGCAGCAGCAGCAGCAGCAGCAGCAGCAGCAGCAGCAGCAGCAGCAGCAGCAGCAGCAGCAGCAGCAGCAGCAGCAGCAGCAGCAGCAGCAGCAGCAGCAGCAGCTGAACAATGAACAATGAATTTATACGGGTTAAGAAGCGTTGCTTTACAAGCCCCGTTGGATAGTTGGTGGGGACATCAACATAATAATTATGATGAAAAGGATAGTAAAATAGTTAACACTTTAAATACGAAAACAAGGACTTATCGTTTGCTTCGTTGTAGTCCTGCGATTCTCTTAGATTCACAGCACCCACAGTTAACAACAAATAATTCCATGGTAAACTCCAGGTGTAGGATGGAGACATAGTGTTAAGTAACAAAGTGTAAGTGAATGAGTGCATCGTCCAACCGTCTTTTAAATACTGTTAGTGTCGGTGCAGAGACGACCAATTGTGGGAGAGCATTCCACGGGTGACAGATACGGATGGAAAAGAAATTTTTGCAGCACTCCAGACGACTGTATTGTTCTGCGAGTTTTAATGAGTGGCCCCTCGGGTTTGTATTGCTGCTGAGTTGCAGTAAAGGGCGGCACACATGATGTGGGTCTCGCAGAATCAAGTATGCCATAATCAGGTGGCCTCGTAGCCTGCGATAGCTTCCGCTGAACAATCCTAGTCGTCGCAGCCTCTCCTGGTAGGACAGATTGCGCATTCCAGTTACCTTCTTAGATGCCCGGCGTTGAGGCTGCTCCGGTGCATTAAGGTCGTGTTTCAGCCGTGGATGCCAGGCTTGAATTGCATATTCGACATGGGAGCGAACATACGCACTGAGCATTTGTCGAAATATGGAGCTGTTTATTTGTCCAAACGCCCGCCTCAACAGCCCAACGTGTTGATTCCCGGTCTTCGAGGCCTTTTCGGATTGCCCGGAGCAACCCAAGTCATCTTGAACCAGGACACCCAAGTCACGTTCGAGAGTTGATTGTTGCAGTACATCCGTTCCGAGTCAGTATGAGTAGTAGCTTTGATGTCGGATGGAAAGTACCTTACATTTACTGACGTTGAAATGCAATGAGTTTTGGGTCGACCATTGATACACCGTATCTAAGTCACTCTGAAGCACATGTTGGTCGGCGTTCGCCTGGATCCTGCGCCAGATCTTGATATCCTCGGCAAACATTAGGAAGTTTGAAGTGATTCCCTGTGCAAGGTCATTAATAAACACCAAAAACAAACGTGGACCTAGAACCGAGCCTTGCGGCACACCACACTCGACTTGTATGGGGTCCGATAAAGAGCTCCGAACTCTGACCACTAATTGCCTTTGAAAGAGAAAGTTGGCGATCCAGCTTAAAAGAGGGTCGTCGATCCCGTAATGCTGCAGATTGGATAGTAGTATCCGATGGGCTAGACGATCGAAAGTCTTGGAAAAATCCAGGTATATCACATCAACACCTTCTCCAGCGTCGGCTGCCTCGGTCCAACTACTGCGTGCAATTAGTAAATTAGTTGTACATGACCGCTGTCGACGGAAACCGTGCTCTTCAGGAGTGATGAGGTTGCAGTTTTCCAGATAGCACACCAGTGCATCGGCAACTATGGATTCCATGACCTTGGAGAGTATAGGAAGAAGGGTTACTGGGCGGTAGTTGGAGGGATCAGATCTGCTTCCACCTTTTTGAATCGGGCTTATTATTCCAAGCTTCCACATGGCGGGAACTTGGTTCTGGTCTAAGCAGTGCTGGAAAAACTGAGCTAAAGTTCCTGCCAGTTGGTTTGCTGCTACTCCCAATGCCTCAGGACGAATGGTGTCGACACCCTGCGAGCTGTGTTTGCGTAGAGAAGTCAGCTTTTGCAATACAGCCTCTGCGGTAAAATTGATGTGGGTTAGTCTTGGTGAGCAGAAGACAAAGCTTGGTAGATCGCTTGGTGGCAAGACTCTTTGAAACGTGGGGGCGTATTGCATCTGCAGCGCGTTTGCAGCTTCCATAGACGTTCTTGTTGAACCATCAGCCGTCTTGAGTGGAGGAAATCCTTGCCTCACCTTTCGTAGGCTATTAACGTGCTTGTACAGCAGTTTGTGGTTAGCACTGAAGATTTTTGCGATGTTCTGCTGATAGGCGGCTTTGTCTTCTTTTAACACTTGAGTGCAGTGGTTACGTTAGGCTACGTAGTTGTCCCACGTTTCTGGTGCTGGAGCTTCTCTGTACACTCGCCATGCTGCGTTGCGTACTGTCATCCATTTTTGGGTTCTGCTCCTAACGAAAGAAACGGATTTGCACTTATTGTAAGCTTTTATCTCTGAAGCCTGTGCAATCAGCTGACTGAATGTGTTGACGAACTCGAGCCAGGCGACTTCCGGGGGTTCTTCTTCGAGGAAAGACCATGTTGTGGCGCTGACTAGCTGGGCGAGTCGGTCGTACCTTGTGATGGTTCGCATTGTCTCATCTTTATCATGCCGATATTCTGCATAGCAGACGAAGTTGAAACTGATGACTGCGTGATCACTGCGACCCAACGGGCAGTCTAAAACCAACGCATCAATCATATTCTCTTCGTTGGTAAGCACAAGATCCAACACAGATGGCCTGTTACCAGTTCTGAACCGAGTGGGCAAAGTGATGTGGTTGTAAAGAGGAGCAGTAGTTACTAGATCTTGTAAATCGGTTTTGAATTGTTCGCCGGTTGTGGCAGGGGCTTCTAAACAATGTACGTTGAAATCACCCATGATAAGAATGTGAGTGTACTTTTGTTGTAAACTGCGCCTTAAAGCAGCCATTAGGTGGTAGTCGGTTTCGGGTGTTGATTTAGGGGCGCGGTACACCAAGATAATAAGGCAAGCGTACCTGCCTTTTAACTGCAACCGGCACCAAAGAGAGTCGGGGAACTGCGAATCTGAATCCTCCACGGCTTCGCACTGTAAGTCGTTTCGGTAATACAGGATTACCCATCCTCCTTTTGTGAGCCTATCGTTCCGGATCAGCGACATGCCCGGTAGCGACACTTCAGCGTCCGTCATTCCCGTGTGCAACCATGCCTCGGTGATACCAATGACATCATACGAGCCGGAAGCTTGGCGATATTTCAGTTCAGCCAGTTTGTTAGAAAGTCCGTGAGCATTTGTATACAGTGCATTTGATAAGAGTCTTTCGTTTTTGCTCAGTCGCCGCGCTGGTCAGGGGTAGATTGGAACGCACTAATTTGCCGACCCACCAATGGCATGTAAGTCTACTGTATTTACTCACCCACACATGTCTGGGGGTGTGAATACGACGTGAGGACGCATTGCGGTGCATGTGTCCTTGAAATATGTTAATGACCCTCGTCGAATTCGACAAAGGCCAGCTCAGATTGGGTCGATGCCGACGTTTTTGGCTGGTGGTTTGCAACATCTCGACAGCAGTGCATAATGCACTGGCTACCGTGTTCAAATGTTGATGGCGCTTCGACAGTTGCTCAATGTTATCCCAGCAAATGATAAAAGGGTTAGTGACAACGCTGTTGTAGACTGAATGTTACCTTCACATAAACCACCTTAGCAAAATAAGAATTCGTAACAATTAGGCGGTGAAAATAT